GGACCTCTTGTTCTTTAGATATCCTTTTTGTCAGATAGGCACCCTTTTTTCACAGTCGGGGCCTATAAACTGGTTGCCGTGGTTACAAAATGTCAATCATGACACTTAAGGATGATATTTCCAATGGTACCATAATGAATTGGACCCAGTTAATATTGAAAATTTTGAAAATGTGAGTGGAACCACCTTCTAATTTCTACTGTAGTGCTTTTCGCCCTGCCCCAAAATGAGGGAAAGCCCTGGGAACGAGGGTGAAATATTGGTGTACCTTACATGCATATATAACTTCGTTAAATAGAGTATCGCTGAATGACTAGATCGATGGCTTCATAAGAATATGGCTGCCATCATGGCGGCGCTTCACGTTCGAAAATTGGGAGTTTTCCAACCCTTCAAAGGTGAGCATGTCTGAACGTTTGTTTCTAATTCCAAATAAGCTGTCTTAAGTGATTTTCATCAGTTTTAAAAGTGGAAAGGAGGTTTTTGATGGGAGATACGTACTGTGATACCAAAGCTAGGCCGCTTGTAGTTGGACGCTTGGCTCCTTATTTATTATCATATTAGGCTTGTTTGCCTTCGAGTTATCTTGAGGTTGATAGGTTAATTATCGTAGTTCAAAATTGGATCTGGTCGGGTTACGAATCGCCGGGATCGGCGTACTGAGTCAAGGTATAGAACCATGAGTTAATAGAATTGAAAAAAAAAAATGTTTTAAACAGCTAACCTTGTGGAACAGGTCTGCCAGTGCTTGTTATACAAAGCCGAACAGCAGTGAAGAAGTCTGCAGGTCATTCAAAGAATCGTCAGCATCACAATAGAAGAAGAAAGGGTAAAGGTTATGGACCAAGGAGGACGGAAGGTAAGCTTGATATTTTTACAATTAATGATTTGATCACCATGCATTTACTTGCATGTTCACTGTGAAAAAGAACCACTTGGTGCTCTGTCCTTCTTTTAACTTTTTCAACAAAACTATTGCTGACATGGCAGCTGTAGTCCTATTTGATTAGAGAAAAGCAGAAATTTGAGGTTAAACACCTGCATGACAGAGAGCTTCATTGACAGTAGCTAATTGAAGTAAAAGTATGTTTGGAAAACCTCCCCTCTGCTTATGTTAGGCTTTGTGTTTCTTCTGTTTTGTGGGGTACATCCTATAACTGATTATCTTGGTGGGTTTATCGTTGAAAACTGGTTTTTTACTCTACTCTAGGTCCATAGACAGAATTTGGTCTGTCACTGTGTGTGTGTGTGTGTGTTGCTATAACTTATTGTGCATCTTTTAACCAAGTATTTTTACAAAACTCTTTAGTTAGGAACTTGACATCATCACTTTCTCAAGTTGGGGGTGCATCTTTTTTTAATTTACCAGAACTTAGACAGTATGTTGAGAGAGAACTAGCCATAAAAATTTATGAAACAAAAAGGGTTGACTTCATATGAAGCAGTCAATTTCAATATCTGAACAGTGAAATTTGATTGTTGATGACTGTAACCATTTCTCTTTGAATTTAACAGGAGAACGTGTCACACCAGGCACTATGCTTTTGAAGCAAAGAAAGGCAGAGGTCAAATATCACCCAGGATTAAATGTAAGTTTATGGGGTTTACAATAAAAGAAGTGATTTCTGTTCTTATTTTTATTTCCTCAATGCACTTCAAAGTGATAATAATCGAAATAAAGTTTATGTTCTTGGGCATAAATATAATTCTGGCCCTTCTCAGAGTGATTTTAACCCTTGCCTAGTAGTTTGGGCCAGAATAACTCTTGAGTCTGGCTCAAAATATATATGTACCCGTGAACATTAAGTCAATTCTTTTCAATTGTCAATCATCAACATTGAATGCAGTGACTTTGCTCTTTGTAATAATGTAACTGTGTTGTCCCTTTCAATGTAGAGGCCATTTTCATAGTTTGATTAAAGAATGTTTTTAAATTTTCTTTCTCAGGTTGGTCTTGGTAAAGACAATACTTTGTTTGCATTGGTGGAGGGATTTGTGAAATACAGCAGTGAGCGAGCTGAACCATATCATTGGTGTCTGGGTCAACAAGGACCAGTTGAAGAAAAGAAATATATCAGTGTTATGCCAAGGGAGCCATTTAGAGGACACAAACTTGTTCCAGTGTGTGATGTATATAAAATTGCTGACCCGTAACATACTTAGTGACTGAATGGTCCAAAGCTATAGCAATATCTGTACATTGTAGATTGTTTACAGTGCATTGTCAAACCTTTCTAAGATGGATAAATAGGATTGTCAACATGTACTGATCTTAATCTTCTAAGAAACTGAGGGGAGGTTTTGCACAAAATGGCTGAGAAGACCACTTCTTTCAGAAAGGGTATCCTATTGAATTTTCTAAAAGAGAATGTTGTCATTAATCAGAACTGTGCAGAGCTGTAATTTTCTTACTTGTGTCTCCACTTTTCCAATGTGATTTTAAATAAAATGTACGTTCCACAGTCTGCACGACAATGGTTTAATATGAGGTCTGTTGGATAAATGTTAGCGTCTTATTTTTAATCAACCTTTATGGTTGGTCATTTAACCCCTGCACCCTTCCACTGGTGTGCATATTCTCCATACTGTTCTCTATACATTTCCTTAGGTGCTGATAATGTGAATTTTTGGTTAAAAATCAATAGCTGCTTCCTCTATTCGTGCGACCTTTGTGTTTGATAAGGGAGGCATGGTGGCCTCATTGTTAGTGCACTCAACTCCAGATCTAGCTGTCTGATTTTGAGCCCCTGCCGGGACACTGTGTTGTGTTCTTGGGCAAGACACTTTACCTCACAGTGCCTCTCTTCACCCAGGAGAATAAATAGGTAATGGCAAATTTAATGCTGGGGGTCAACCCAATGATGGACTAACATTCCATCCAGGGGGGAGTAGAAATACTCTAAGTCACTTCATGCTATGGAAACTGGATTCAAACCCTGGCCCAGTTGGGCCACTCAGCTCATAAACAGGCTTTACCTACCTACCTTGTGCCTTGTGTTTGATTCAGAGGAGATATTGTACAAAGCGTTTAGTTGCTAGTCACTTAGTAAACTAAACTCTCTTTGAGAGAGTGTTTAGAGATGCCTATTGATACAGACAGATTGGACTGTAATTGTCTGGAGTAGGGTAAATGTATAACAGCAGTTGCAGTCCTTCTCTGTTGTTAGTGAATGTTCCTCACTGACAACACCTAGGGAATGAAGTGTACAAATTTTTCCTGCAATGTAAAAGTGGGGGGGGAAGAGGAATCAACAGTGTATAACAAGTAGTAGAAGGAAGGTTCTGTTCTTGTCCAAAGAGGGAAAGTTCAAACTGTTTTGAAGTGTTTACTAAGTGAAGCTGAGGCGTTTTTGTTTCGTTCCTTTATGCACTAAAGAGTGCTCAAGTTTCTTTTCTTTTTTTTTTCTAATAGACAGACTTCTGCAAAAAAAATTGGAAACAAGAGCGAAAAAAAATTATATAGGTGTATGTGACATATCGAATTTTCAATTGCTTCAAGTTTTTTTTGTCTTTAGATTTGCATCTAGCGTTAGTAAAAATGAGCTCATAATTTGGAAGCCAGAAATCTACACTAGAATGTTCTTCATTGCTTTCAAAGCCTTGGATGGAGAAATTTTTCAGACTTTAATCTTGTTAAGTATCATCACGGTCAATATAAGAATATAAAGTTTCTGGCCCAAAGTATCTATAACATAACTGAAATACTACGAGCACCCTGATCGGTCAAAAACTGTCGTTTATTGTACCGGTAAACCTACAGGAACCTTGAAACCTTATTGAAGTATATCATAGACAAGAAATAGACGCACCCTCTATCGGTTTACCTGCGTAATAGCCCACTTGGGATGTTGGGCTAACAAACTTGTCTCATGTTTTCTATTACGCCGATAAACCGATAGAAAGTGCTTAAGTAACCCAATAGAAAACAATGACTTGAGGAAAGTCATTCGAGTCTGAGGGTATCCTTGTGCTAAATATTAGGAAAGAGAACACCTTTCACAGTCGTAAGTTGTCTCGCTTGTTGAGACTGACTTTCCGGTTCTCTCGACTGTGGGTAAGAGAAATGTCTTCGAATTGCAATATTGCGATTTTCCTCCTGAAAAGGAAAAATAAAATAAATTATCATCTTGCTAAACGAAGGAATGAGAACTGGAGATAATGCCAATGTAGCATGGTTGGAAGTTATTAGCGAGCGAAACAGGAATGTTGAACGGAAGTTAAGTGGAGAATTGATGGATTGGACTAGGTTTTATTTTCTGTTTGCTGGTGGCTGATTGCAATGTTTCCTCACGGTTTGTCCCCCTTAAGATTTGTTGAGTTCATAAATTCTCCAATCCCCATTCACGTTTCCTCAGCCGAAAACGTTGAACTTCTCTGACGAGTTTGTAAGCATAAAGCAATTGAAATCAGTACGTAGTCACAGGGATATTTTTAATTCAACAAAAGCTTTACAAGTTAGGTTTGCCTGGAGTTAGCACATTGGAATCGTAAGAGGTATAGGTGTTAGACCTGGCCGGACCAGAGCGGTGTATTCTCGGCCAGATCACTTCATTCTCTTGTTGCCTCTTTCCGCTTAGGGCGGCCAGCGTCGACAAAACCCGGATCGGAACACGGATCGGATTGGGTTTTGGGTTTTGTCGATGCCGAAGCGGACTAAATAAGGGTACTTTGGCGAAGTGTCGCCGCGGGGAAGCCTAGTAAGTTGCAGATGGTTACCTTGCAATGCAGTAGCCTCTGGCCAATAACATGGATTTTTCTTTTACTGCCTATAATGCTTCACGTTATCTCATACCTGTTGAAGGGGTCTTGAAGCGGTGTCTTCATTTTGCTGATAGCCTGAGGTTACGTCACTTGCCTTATTATGTATGATGTAGCGCGTTTGCGCATTTGGATGGTAGGAGATTCCCGGTGTCTCCTAGCCGTCCCGCGTTGGGTCTTTATCATTTGGGTGCAAAGAAAATGTCCTAAAATAACCTTGTTTTATTTGCGTGGGCGGATAACGTACAGGACTAGAACTGTCACTTCGTATCGTAGGCTCCTTTTGGAAGCGACGCTGGAGTTTATTCGACGTGATTGGAGAGGAAGTTTGGTTTTGAGTCACTCTTGAGTCGTTGAGCGCTACAGATTGATAAGTTTTGCCAGGACATAAGATCCTTGATAAGTCCTTGACTGTTAACTTTGGAACATTCGTTGAGTGTGCTTTTCGGTTTCGAAGAGGTGCATTGAGACTTTCTTTGTTATCTTGGTGACTGGTGCTGATAAACAACTGCGAAGACATACTACCTCTATGATCCATAGGGGTCTTATAATTATCTACTCTGCTTAATCTTTCGTTGTTCATTCTTGAGCTTTCATCTGAAAGTCCGTCCCTCTCCGATTCTCCTCTGCTTGTTCGGAGAACAGGTAGTTTGCTAAATTTTCGTTTCATAAAAGATTCTTTCCTTTGTTCCCAGGAATGCGCGAGTTTCTTTCTTTGACCTTGGATGAATTTCAGATCTTTCTGTAAAGTGTCCCCTTGAACAGAGTTCCGCATTGTTGCTTTCAACAAATTGCGGCTGAAAGTAATGTGCCCAGCTTTTTTCTCTGGTTCTTCCGCCATTGTGAATTATTTTACTAAGTGAGTTATCGCGGCAATTTTAATGAGCCAAACTTGAAAACACTGCCGGCCAATCAATTCTTGGGCTTTGAAAATAATGATAATGCACCTCTCAGAGGATTAATCCGTTGTTTACGAAGATTTAGAACAAAAACAAACAATTTCATTAGTTTAAGTATTTCTTCTGCGGTTATGAACAAGAAAATTAACGATTCAAAATTACAGAGACTTCAGTCGGTACAAAAGTGATCCTTTGTAGTGTTTGCAAGAAAAACTGGGAGTCATTTCAGTTCATATGGTTTTTGTTCAAAGGAAATATAGAATTAGGTTTTCGCGCAACACGGTCAATTGAACAAGAAATAACGTAGTACGCATTCACCAAACGGTAGTCTGATTGAACGATTTTCCATGCAGGTTCGACAATTCAGTATTTGAAATGGTTTATACAAAGCCTATTCCAGGCCTTCAGCAGGTAAAACAGAGCGAAATAGTAAACGGATTCCTCAGCGGCTCAGGTTATGTGAGGGAAATGTATCCATGAAGAAGGGTTTTACGGCTTTACGTTTCGACTGATGTCCAGTTAGGGTCATTTATCTACTTTTAACCTAGCTGCTCTATCATGCATAGGATTGAAGGAGTTGAGCATAGCAGAACTACAACTCCTCCACACAACCATACCATATATCACTGCTGGTATAATGGATTTAAAATAAATTTCCTCTTAGGGGTAATTGCCTCACACGTTTTAAGGCACCAACTTTTTGTGAGATCTGCTTCTTTATATGGCAAATATGCTTTGACCAAGACAAACCGCTGTCAATAGTCAGTCCTAAACAAGTAGTATGATCTACAGTTTCTTTTATTTCGTCAGATATGTGACACTTGAAAGAGTCCCACACCAGAAACCTTTTCTCAAAAGGACAAACCTCCCCATACTTCATCAACCCATATTTTCGTTAAGTCATCATTCATCCAGCCATTTGGAGAGCATTTTACAATGGCTCCTGTGACTGCAGCAGCGTCGCTTTTAACTTTGTTTCCCGGGATGACAACAAATAGCTTCATTTTGAATCCATCTGCTTTCACAGCTAAGCACACTGTTATGCGTTACTTTCCATGTCCGGTTAAGTCTATGGGAATGGTCTTTGATCCACGTTGTTCCACTGTTGTCTCACGCGGCATATCGGCCCAAATTGGTGTCTCGTCCATGTTGGCAATGCATCCGAGGGAGAAATTGAATTTACTTCTCTGCTTTTCACAAAACTTTACAAAGTTTGCGATCTTCTGTAGAACATCATTGGCATAGTTTGTCCAGAAATAGTACGTCGTCTAACTGACAGGTTGCTTCGCAGCATAAAGTTGAACAGCCATCCGCGACTCGCCCGAAACCCTTTTAAATTATGCGCTGTTGCGAGCTCTTGTGCCCAGACGTTTACCAACCTACAAGGAACGTGATGATGTTTCTCGCGTTCGTCGATGATTTTCTCCAGCAGCTCTTCTTCGAGTTCTCCAAGAACTGGTTTCATTCCTGCGCCAGACAATCGTTTCTTCTTACTTTGAACCATCGACGAAGTTTCACTACTAATTTTAGATGAATTCTTTCTTTATCTTCGGATCATGCTTTCATCCACAGAAAACTTTCTGCCAGCTTCTCTGTTGCTAGTTTCTTCCGCGCATCTAATAGCACTCAACTTAAATTTTAAGTCGTAGTTCTTCCTTTTCTCTGCCATGACTTTTAGAAATCGTGACTGCGCGTGAGTGGTTTCCTAGGGCTTGATTTTCTCTGGTTTCCTAGGGCTTGATTTTTCATATTTAGACAGGAATATGAATCAAAAAGGTGTTTTTTTATTCTTATTGATGCATTCCGATTGCTATTTCC